TATATATATATGTATATAAATAACGTTATATTACAATACGCACGTGCTCGCTTATTCTCTCTCTCTCTCTTCTTTTTTTCTCTCTATAGCATTTCATATATTTAATATGTTAAGTACAAAGATTTTACAACAATCTGAGAGCAAATATTATAAAAATCCTGAGTACCTCATAACTGAAATATCCATAAGCAGCTCTAAGTTATTCTTGATTGTTGTTTATTGATTTTTTTATTGCAGATATATTACTGATTTCATTAACATTTTCATTGACAATTTTATATACAAACACTTGATATATAATCTCAAGATATCTTATCGTTTATTCATCGTAGACATATCGTTCTGTTTCAACCAATATTCTTTAATCATGTCGGCGCCTTTCTCGCCGATCATGATTGTCGGCGCGTTTGTGTTTCCGCTCACAATATTCGGCATGATCGAGGCATCAATCACGCGAAGCCCAGCCACACCGTAGACCCTGAGCTGTGGATCGACAACGGCCTCGGGATCCGAATAAGCTCCCATTTTACAAGTTCCTACAGGATGATAAATCGTGACGCTATAATGCCTAATCATGCATTCCCAATAATCATCAGTAAAAATCGGAAAATGTTCGCATCCTGGAAACTGTTGCGAGTTTAATTCGCTTCCGAATCGTTTGAAAGCACTGGTTCTACTCAGAGCCACGCTGATCTTTACTCCTTCGATCAATGTGGCAATATCTTCCCGTTCTGTAAAATAGTTCGGATAAATGACGGGATGATCAAACGGATCCGTGCTGCGTAGTTTGATCATACCGCGACTCTTTGGTCGCAGCAGCATAGGAATCACGCTCCAAGCATCCTTGTTGTTGATCGGCCCGAAAACCGCATCATAAAAGCGCTTCGTTAAACCATGTATCTTTCTTATTTGTGCACCGCTGTCCGAATTAGTCGAGCCAGAGACGAAATGCAGTTCAATGTCGGGAAAGTCTAACGAGGCGTTCGTATATTTAGTGTTGACGAAAGCAATACCCTCGACACCACCTAATATTGTCAGGGGTCCATCACCTAGCACAGCGTACTGCATCGCTGTTTGTATACTTTGCAATCGATCTTGTATTATAGATATTTCTTGATTGATCAGGAACGCGAGTCCGCCTAAGCCAACATGATCCTGGAGATTATAGCCGACCTGGAAGTGCAAGAATTTTGTAATAAATAAAATAGAAATTGCTAAATTGGGGGGAAGGATTTTTTAAATGTTATCTAGAGTATTATATACATACATATAGTGTAAAGTTATAATAAATATTTAGAAGTGTAGATCTAGAAAGACACTAAATTTCTTGCACTAACCCTGCTATCTTGAACCACGGGAATCCCGAGCTTCTGCAAATGTTCCTTTGGCCCGATTCCGCTTAACATTAAAAGTTGTGGGGAATTAACCGCGCCGGCAGATAATATTATTTCTTTGTTCGCACGTATCCGAAACACCTTACCATCTCTGACGAATTCTATTCCGTAAGTACGCTTTGATTGGGGGTGCACCAGCACTTTAGTCACGTGCGTGTGCATTGCTACGTGCAAATTCTTTCTGAGTCTGGCTGGTCTGAGAAACGCTTTCGCACTTGAACAACGACTACCACGCCTGATGGTGCCTTGAGCGATCATGAAACCAGTCTGATACTTTCCATTAATATCGCGATTCTCGTAGCCCATTTCTTGGCCGGCCTGAACAAAGGCTGCGGCCAGAGGTGTGTGCCATGGTGCCTCCTGAACTGTCAAGTGCCCGCCGCTCGCGTGATACGGGGTGCGAATCAAATAAGGATTTTTGTTGTCCTCGGATTTTTTGAAGTAGTACAGGACGTCGCGCGAACCCCAGCCGGTACAACCTTGCTGCTCCCATATGTCATAGTCACGTTTATTGCCTCTAATATACAACATGTAATTTAATACACTCGATCCTCCAATCACTTTGCCACGTGGCCAATTGCAACGTTTATTTTCCATCGCTAGAAATATTTAATAATATACAGAAAAGGAAAAGAGAGAGAGAGAGAAATACTTGCTGAATTTAAAAAAAAGAAGAGATAATAGAAGTACTATAAAAATTACCTAAACAAACACCATCCTGTGGTTCCGTCTTGTATTGCCAGTCAAGTTGACTGAGTTGCAAATAACCCGCAAGTAAAGGAACGTCTGAGATCTCCGTTTCGTCACCCCCTGCTTCCAGCAATAGTACGTTCCAATCTTTGATCTCAGACAGACGGCTCGCAACTACAGCTCCTGATGCCATAAAAAAGAAGAAATATTTATATCAGAATTATTAGTCAATAACAAAAATTTCTAATGAACGTACCTGCACTACCACCCCCTACCACTATAAAATCATACGTAGGCAGTAGTATTTCCGATGGCATGTCGATCGGCGACGCTTCATTGTCTAAAGCTTCGTATTGGAAGTAGACAAGCGCTGCGGCAAGAATCGGAAAAAACCATGACAGTCCGCTGGAGGCTGAAGTCAAACCTCCTGCTAAAATGCTTTCGACACCCATTTTATTTTGCCGTAGTGTTTTTTACTAGTGCACTGGACTAGTGAACTGGAATTTAAAATTGTATAACACACATAAGTAAATATTTATTCTATCACAATAGAACCCGGATAAGTTTGTTTCGGATAACTTTAGTACCTCTTCGCATGTACTTTCATCAACGTGTCTATTTCATATCATAACGAGCAGATCACGACACAAACCAACTCATTGTACTGCTGGAATGAAACTAATACCTGCGCAACCATCACATTAGAAATTGACGAAGAGCCAGCTCACCTGGCTCAATCTGAACGATCTCGATGCGAACTGAATATCAATTACTCGTGAAACTTTTAACTGTTAAATAATTTTGAACTAACTTTGGCATGCATATGAGATTCGTGTTTAGAAAATTATCTAATTTATCTAAATTTTGCTACTTATAAAAAATACGTTTAGTAATTTCATAATATTTTTGAATTTGTGATGACTGATTAACATACATTAAGTATTAAGTATCCTTCGTCATCTTTTAAAGATGAATTTTATTCAAATAATCGATAACACATGTTTGATAATTGTTTCTCAATTATATCAATCACAACGCTTTATAATCAATAAATTTAGACTTTTATATTTTAGTTTATAGATAATGCATGTTCATTTGAAAATTTTATCTGTTTTTGGCAGCTGATATAAGAACATACGTGATATTTATTCTAACATATTAAAAGTCCCTACCACTATAAAATCATACGTAGGCAGTAGTATTTCCGATGGCATGTCGATCGGCGACGCTTCATTGTCTAAAGCTTCGTATTGGAAGTAGACAAGCGCTGCGGCAAGAATCGGAAAAAACCATGACAGTCCGCTGGAGGCTGAAGTCAAACCTCCTGCTAAAATGCTTTCGACACCCATTTTATTTTGCCGTAGTGTTTTTTACTAGTGCACTGGACTAGTGAACTGGAATTTAAAATTGTATAACACACATAAGTAAATATTTATTCTATCACAATAGAACCCGGATAAGTTTGTTTCGGATAACTTTAGATAGACGATATACTATTAAGATCGTATCCAACTAGTTGAAGATACAATATCAATAAAATCACAAATTTTTTGAACGTTATTATAATTTTTAATATTTGCCCTACATTTCCTGATCAAAGTGAGACATTTTTACATTATGACCGATCGTTAAAAAGTTTAAAATTATACCATATAGTATAATATTTTATTTTGCAACATGTGTTATTTCACATCTTTATTCGATTTTTTTATATAAATGATTATAGTTTTTTAATCGACGTAACTCGCCGCGGATAAGTCGCGCAGTGCATTTGTTCCTTGTACTCTTCTGGGTTTTCTATTCCCCGGATAATGGTACGGAACAGTCAATCTGTTATCGTCCACAAAGCAATAATTCAACTTCTTCATAATTCGCTCGATAAGCGTTGATATTTCTTTTCTGTCACGACTCCGTCTTCTTCTTAGGCATGATCGTACGTCTTGCGGTTTCGCCGTTTCTGCCGCGTGAATTTGAATGGCGGATGTCTGCACAGATGAGGGTACTGTGAATGCAGGAATTGGAAGAAACTAAGAAAAATTAATAATGCTAGTCGAAAAAAGCATTGAAATTTATATTTAAATTTTTTTCTCATTATATTGTGATATAATTATTTATTTAATATTATTTATTATATACTAGAGAGAGAGAGAGAGAGAAAGAGAGAAAGAGAGTTAATGAATTAATGGATGCTAATACACCACACTTATTTAAATTCATGCCATTTTTATTTTCGGATAGCCGCATGCTTGATCTCTCGCCAGTTATGCGCTGCGTTTTCTCTCTAGCTACGATTTTCGATGTCCTGCTCCTTAATTCATTTCTAATTACTTCTTGCGAATCCTTGGCCGCGCGATTTGCGGCAATGCCTTTCGTCAGCCTCGTCGATACCTTTGAACTCGCTACGGAAGTCGAGGCCAAAGAGTTTCCTGCACGCGATCTCGCAACACTTTTATCGGTACTCTTTAACAGATTCTTAAAGATATTTGTCTCTCTTGCGGATGATGATTCGCGTTGAGAAGATCCCCGCGCACTTTTCAGATTCATTGTCGAGGATCGATTACCACTCGACAATTTGTCGTTGAGGTTTAATTGCGCGGCTGACTTTTGCATTCGCTCGTTTCTGGAGGACGACGTAAAGTTCGAAATGATGGGAAACGTGAAAAGGGATGGGAAACGTATTGATGCGGACGTATCGCGGGATGAATCCTGATGTCTGACATGTCTGGATGAGTTACTCGTGACTCGTGGTACCAAATGCCGAAGTTCCGTCTGCAGCTTCTCGACCTCGTCGAGACGCACCAGGATATCGTCGATACTATCTTTGGCCATTTCGGAGCTTCGATAATTACACAATTACATCTTGAATGTTATTTTTATTGGATATTATTTTCCTTGAAAATTTTGTTTCTTTCACAAAATACGATTGAATGATCTTCAACGTGAAGATCATTCACGTTTTGACATTAAGCGATGCGATGTTATTTGCCGGCGAGGCATATCGTCGATTAGTAATCTCTACTGTTTCTATATTTATAATTTTGAAGACATTGAAAAAATAGATGATTTATCAATATTTTATAGTTATCAATATTCTAATTTATGGTATATTTAATATTATGTATAAAAAAGAAAATTTTTTCGCATATTTTAACTTATATAAAACAGATCTAAGACCAAAGCAAAAGTATAAAAAATTGTCATAACCGAGTCAATCGACCAACACTAAGATTGTAAGATTTACTTTTTCGTAAATAATAATGAAACATAATACATACACGCTTGTATTTAAAATGATATATTTACATTTATATATATCTTTTAAAGATGAATTTTATTCAAATAATCGATAACACATGTTTGATAATTGTTTCTCAATTATATCAATCACAACGCTTTATAATCAATAAATTTAGACTTTTATATTTTAGTTTATAGATAATGCATGTTCATTTGAAAATTTTATCTGTTTTTGGCAGCTGATATAAGAACATACGTGATATTTATTCTAACATATTAAAAGTTTATTTAAAGAGGAAGCATCATTAAAATGTAAATAAAGATTAAAAAATCACATCAAGAAACAAAAATGTGAAGCATTGCTCGTATCAGATTGAACAGGTTTTTAACATGAAGTAAACGATTTGAAAAGGACAATTTACTTGCTTCCTGATAAAAGATTGTTCTATTATATACGAGTAAATTGTAGTTGCTATTTATATAATTAATTCCTTTCATAAAATAGGAAATATATAATAGTGGAAATTTTATAAATTATCGCGCGGATAACTTTATAAAGTTATATTTTAGAATTACAATCATTATTATATATATATATATAATTATATGTGTGTGCACCAGTGTGTTGTGTGTATGATTTATATATATGAAATAAATTATGATATGTGTATTTTCAAAATCGTTAATGAAATTTATATTTTTAACCTTCTTTCAGTAATCGATAATCTTTTTGGAAGGAAAATATAGTTTTAATATAAGTTTAAAATAAAAGTATTTATTAAATGTGAAGATGACAAATTTTTGCTTTTTTTATTACTGAAAGTATCAAGTTACATTTTAATTAATTAAATTGCAGGAATTAAAACATGTTGAAAAGATTATTCAAAAATTATAACTTGACATTATAACTTTAATATGAATGATGTGTTGCCATATATGCTTAAAAAGATCATGTCTGAAATGCAATACAAAATGCTTACGCTAAATAAATCATACATACAGATATCAACAAGTACACACACATCGCATTTACCATAATTATATCTCTGCCTACCTTTTTCCTGTCCTCATTCAAGCTATGTCAAGATTAATCCGCTCTTTTTGTTTGTATTTTGGCACACTAAAGTAACGATACCAACACGGACATTATTACACTAACTAGTACTTATTACACTATCAACATATTTAGCAAAAAAATTTGACAAGCAAAGATGTGATTGTTCGAAGAGAGAAATGATTCTTCCATTCCATAATTGTATCAACTTAAATCATAAAATTTCTTCGCGAGATGATATCGATGAATACGAAATTTATAAACGATCCTTAAACAAGGAGACAAAACGCCTGAATCATCTAACTCGAAGAAGAGAGTAACACTGACCATGACTTTGCTTCAGCCTTGACTACTTGCCTGTACCTCATTGCGAATGGTATATCGGCCGTATACACAGACAGGTTTCCGGACTCTTCCATAGATGTGACGCATAACGGTCATCGACTCGCCTCTCTCTTTCTCTTTCGATTTTTCTCTTTGTCCATACCAGTGAACCAATCTTCCTTCTGATCACCTACTTGGTCCCGTTTTCCATTGCTGTTTCCCACTCGCCTTCTTCGAGAACCACAGTTTTAGCTGGAAAATAACACGTGGGAAATATTGGAACGTAAAGCTTAATTAATAATAAAATAATTCGAATAAATTGGTAGTTATCACTCTTATCAACAAATTTTTTTTCTTGGAAAATTTCTTTTTCAATTTTCTTGAGATTTTTGCTACACGTGATGTGTTCGCGCATCCATACATGACAAAAATTAAGGAAATTAGAAGATTTTTCTTTTTCCCAAAAAAAGGAATTTGTATATATATATTTTTATATACATCTTATCGATATATATATCTTTATATACATGTATATGTATATATATATATATATATATATATATATATATATATATATATATAATTATGTATGTAATATAAGATTAACGAGAAAGTTGTACTAGACATTTTGAAATTGGTGGTCGTACGTGACAGTTCTCACGTTTACTCAATGAATTCGAGGAATTCTGTGACGTATTACGGACATACGGTAAAGAATCATTCATCCGGTATTAATAGGGTCGACCTACTTATTGTTGCAACACAAGCGTTTGACAATCGTCCAGAATTATAAACTAATCGATGATATTAGGACGAGGAGCATTCTAGAAAAATCCTATATGAGAAAAAAGATTGTTAGAGAATGTATTCATAGTGATTCGATGCTGATGTGCAGGGGCTGTCGCTAAAGATGACCCTGAATCCAATATGCGAGAGCATAAAAACGATGCAAGGATATCATCCGGATGACGCAATGCAAAATTATGAAGGATGACAAGTTATTACATAATGTCAATGAACAATTTACTGAGAAAAGCGTCCATGTACATTTAATCATTCTCAACATTTACCTTCAATTATAAATATATGAGAATGACAAATGTATACATAATCTAGCCTCTTTTCCTTAATATTTTATTTTCTGATGATAAAATTCACGCTTTAATTAGAATTACAAAATCATAGTAATTCAGTGCGAAAAGATGATCTATAAACAAATTTTCAGCTATATTAATAGAGGTCTCCATGGTCTCTCCTGTCAATCCTCAAAATTAATAACAATTTCTAAAATGTATGTAAGTATACTTATTACTAATCTAGTTTTATTTAGATATATTATTAAAAATATAGAAGTTTATATTACTATATACACACACAAGCATACATTAAAATATTGAATATTATATTGACATTATTTATTTTCTTTCTTTAAATATATTGCATAATAAGCAGTCGTAAAAAGATAATTGATGGATGCATGTTGCAATACAGCTTCCAACCTGTATCATTGTTCGTTTGACAACGCAGAGATTAACATTGATACTATCGTCGTCGCTGTAGCCGAATTGAACGAGAGGATCTTGCAATTACGAAAAGAAATCGTTGCATTTAAAAACGAAAATGAACTTTATTTAACCGTGACACGTAACTTTTCGAGGTAATAAATGAGAAAGTAAAATATTCTTGTCAACAAAACTTTTGGTAAATATATGGATAAATAAGCATATATAAAAATATAAATGTAGTATTAATAATATAAAATATAAATAAATATAAAAATGCACATAATTACAGGTGTAAATACTAAATATAAATTTGAGATAGATTATTTTGTCTATATAATATAAAATCAACTTCACACACACACACACACACACACAAACTTATTGAAAAATTAATCTGTAAAATATCATTCGCTAATTTTATCATTAAAATGTGATTAATTTTTTATCCTGCAGAATTTTTATATTTAAAATCATTGAGGCAAACTAATTTATATGTTTGTGCGTGTGTGTTTTATTATCGATTTCATCTATGAAAAACGTTTTGATTTTCTAGTCCGACACCATCGGAATTAAATGATTCAACGAAAAACGTGGGGAAACGAACGGATGCAAAGTACGAGCTGCAAAGAAATTGTAAAGGAGACGATTCGCCAAACGGCACTGATTTATCCGCTCGTTTATCATTCACGAAACGTGCACTGGAAGTAAAAGCGACGAACGAGGCGGTCATATTTAAAAAGAATTATCCGCGTGACCATAAATCAATCGAAGATGATGAACGGCCAAATAGATCGCGCGTGTCTGAAGCATCGGGGATGTATCGAAGGTCCATTTCGGATGTTGAAAAATTCGAAAAAGAAATCAGCGACAGGTCTGGAAATGTAAGAGATATCGTAGATGTAAGAATTTCATGTATTGCCGATGAAAAATTGAAAAGTCCCAACAAATATCAAAATGAAGTCGTTAATAATATGTACTGCGACTATGATCCTCCGAATGTTACTATGCCAAAAATTAAAAGGAAGAGGATCTCCAGAGGCGTACAATATTCCTTGATCGGATGTCAAAACCACGCCAAGCGATTTCTTCTGGACTGTTTCGGATCGAAATTGAGTGCGAAGAAATATAATTCGATGCAAAAAATGGAGAGGAAAGAAGCTTTAACGGATAAAAAGAAATTTTATATCGGATCACGAAACAAAATGAACGAATCGTTAGATGCGACAACAATTTGCAACGAATCTTATAACGTAAAATTGAATAATACAGATATGAAAGAAGAAAAATTTGAAAATGATACGAAAAAAATAGGAAAAATTATTAATGGATGTGGAATGAATCATACAAAATTATTCGTACGATTAAAAAATAAAAATGACAATGAAAAATGCAAAAAAGATAACAACTTGAAGAATCGTAAAATGAAAATAAATCCTTTCGAAAAATTGTGGTCGAGTAAAGCTTTAACGCGTAATGATAATCTAAAAGCGCAGCAAAATAGATTGCTATACTATGATTTCAATATCGCTGATAATTCTGAAGATAATAAAAAAGGGACTACTAAATCCAATTTCGAAAATAATCGAAAGAATGGCGCTCGTAAACGCGAGCATGATTCGCAAGATGAACAGAGTGTAAATATTTTTGATCATAAGATAGATTCGAATAATGCACAGAATGTAAGCGCAATTACAAATTCTGATAGAGAAAGCATGACGAATAAAATGAAAGAGAGATTAGATTCGTGCATCGTCGAATTAAATGGAATTATCGGTGATGCCTGTGTAGTATTTGGTAGTGGAAAAAGCTCAGCGAGAAGAACAGCTGATCGGGTGTTTACACATATACTTTAGTATGAGCTGCAAAGAATTTTCAAGCGAAAAACAATTCACATTAATTTATCCGCTTTTGTGTTCATCATCTTCACGAAGTGAATAATAATAATATTAATAATAAACAACGATTATTTAAATAGTGAGTGGCAAAAGCGTAACTAAACGAATTTTTATCGTGGTAAATTTCCTTGGTGAACATGCGTGTCTTATTTCGAGAAAGCTACGGAAATGAGAAAGAAACGATTTATGTAAAATCAGAAGGTAAAATTTTTCTCTCCAGATATTTAAGAAAATTATTGTTGTATATTGACTAATCATATATTAATCCGCATGACATCTGTTGGTTAGATGGCGTGAACGAGATGAGATTTAACTCAACCGAAACGCAACCCATTTGTTCCCGGATAGTATCCATCGTTAAAGATATATTTCTGCCGCAAGGATACCCAGATAGTGTGCATTCCGATTACACAGCATATCAGATATGGGATACAGTGCAAGTTAGTTTAAATAATCAAGTAAACTTTTGACATATGTTTCATTGCGCCAATAATACAGTGACAACATTTTATCACAATGAAATTTATCAAGAATTTCTTTCTCTTATATTATCCAGCGAAGAATGTGGACAATGATTTACAAAGACTGAATTTATATTTTACAGGCTTCTGCGAGTACTATAATGAACACACTTGCAACCCATTCTATAATGATAGGAATAGGAGTTGGAGAGTCAAACGCTACTCCTTTGGCAGCAGCAATAACATGGGTTTTAAAAAATGGTGCAGGAATGGTCGGTAGTATAACGTTTGCATGGTGGAATGGGTAATAAAAAGATTCATGGATACTCTTTAGTACATATTTTTATCATACATTTGTATAATTAAAATTTGATGTCAAGATTTGATTGTAACATGTTTCTTTCTCCATTATAGAACCAAACTAGATGGGCAATGCAAAAAATGGAGGCTCTTTGCTGATATTCTGAATGACATGGCAGCAGGCATATTTCTCATCATATTCCGTTATAATTCTGTGCATTTCTACCATTATAAAGTCTCTTGTCGGTGTTGCTGGTGGAGCTACAAGAGTAGCACTGACTCAACACCAGGTGAATAATTATTAATCCACATTATATAGTTTTAACTAATTTTACTAATATTACTTTCTTATCATAGGCAATAAAAAATAATTTGGCTGATGTCGCTGCAAAAGATGGGAGTCAAGAGATGTGTGTAAATCTAATCGCATCATTCATTGGAGTCTTTATATTGTCTTTGTTCCATGATGGACAGTATGTATCTAGTATATTTAATGTATTTTACTATTGTATTATTATGAATGCTATTAATGATGAAGTCATATACATATAGATACTTAATAGAATTGTATCTCTTCCTGGTGGCAGTCCATCTCTATGCGAATTATTCGGCGGTTAAAGTGCTGTGTTTAGATACACTCAATGAAGATCGTCTGGCCTTAATCATCAAAAATTATATGATAAACGAGCAAATTCCTGAACCAAAAAGATTAAATAAAGAAGAATCGGTATTTTTATTTGGCAATCCTAGTAAGATATTATTACAATTATGCACTTTCACCGTGTAAGAAATATGTAACGAGTTGTGAATATTATTTTCAGCCAAAAGCATATGTGGGTTCGATATTAAAATTGGGGTTTCATTTGTAAGTGTCCTGAAGTATCATCCTGAAGTATCATCCATAGAAGTGGAATTCTTGTTAAAATTCTTTGAAAACAAAAAATATTTAATAATAATAGATATCAAAAAAAGGAATATATTTATAATTCTTAAAAAAGATATACAACCTGCTGAAATACTGGAAGCATACTTTTATGCTTCAATGTGTGGATTTTACATTTGTATGGCAAAAGAAATTCCAATTGTGAGTAGCGAAAGCTTTTTTACTTGAATAATAGAGAATTTGGCTTTTTTACATGTTTTGTTATTAAAATATAATGTAATTTATTATATAAATATTTTAATATTACACAGGATTTATTGTTGAGATCTGAAACATCTGAGCCATCATACCCGTTGTTGAATGTATATATTTTTTATAAAAAATTTATGGATTTAAATAGAAATATACAATTATCGATTCCTGTCCAAAGTATTTGTGCTACAGATTCAATTGTCTCTAATGAATATAAAACATTCCTTGAGAGTCTGGATGTAAATGGTATTATATAGTTGCATATCTCGATATTTATTTGCTATTATAAGCACTGATATATAACTATTAATAATTTTAGGATGGAAAACCAAATCAAATTTCTTGACAGTTGGCGCATGGAGATTTTCCGTGGGAGTTGAGGGAGAATAAAGTCGAAAATTTATTAAAGATAATAAAAACTTTTTAATAATCAACTATCTAAAAGGTATATTGTTTATATTAAAATAATATTTCTTTTATATAATACTGTAATAAAAAAATATAAAATATGTGACATGACCATAAGAATAAAGTCTCTTTGGGAAATATATAGGTAAGGAAATTGATTTTATTTCCAACAATTTATAAAAATATAACATGCCTTTTATTGCTGTACAAAATGATATAGATGACTCAAACTAAGATTCCTGCTCTGATCTTGGTCCAGTCTGTGATAAATGTTTTACTATATCCATCCAATTCCATCCTCGTGGTCTTTCTCCTTTGCCATCTGCTTTATTCCATTGTTTACGCTTTTGTGCTTTACTTAAATGTTCTTTTTTGGGTTTTTTTACTGTTTCCTCGACCTTAGATCACATATTTTTACTCTATCTTACTTGATTCTTTCTAATAATAGTATACTAACATGTGCAATATATATATATTTATATACCTGTTGATTCTCGTCTGTTATCTTCAGTTTACTAGTATGCGAATTTATATCGATGGTTGAGTTTGGTTGCATAGACACTAAATCTGTATAATATTCTTGGACAGATTGAAATAATGTATACGTCATAGCGCTACCTAACCACTGTTCAGCCTCTGCCTCTATGTGACTCACCACCTTGTCCTTTACTTCTTCCACACTGCATATTCCAATTATTCATCTTTAATCAAAGTAATTAAATGTAAGAATAATCGAGCGATTGCTTGATTGCACTTACATATGTTTATTGTAAAATGTGTTCATATTGATAGTTGGTTTCTCTGTAGGATATGTTGCACCCCATGATATTTCCAGTAGAAATGATTTCATATCATTATCCTCACCATACTGTGTAACAAATTATTGTCATTGTGTGAACAATCTATATATAACAACATTTAATTTGGCACGTCTAATTAAACGTGTGAATAAGTCACATTTGTGTTTTACAATTGTTTCTTATTTTCTATAATTAAATTGGAGCAAGCAAATAGTCAAATTATGAATAAAGAAAGAGGAATAAAGAGATATCGTTGAGTGAAAATAACAGCTGCATAGGATAAAACTTTTTTTATATTCATCTCTTTATATATATGCTGAATTATTTCTCAGGATATAAAAATATTTAATCATGACAAAGTTACCGGAACTAGGAAACGCGAAAGTGATTCTCACACCTTATATTGAAATGTCGTGGGTGTCAACTGTTTAAAAGCTGGATCGCCGTCATATATCGAGAGTAAGACTTCTCTTTCCTCCTCCTGGAGTTCGGCATCACTCATCGCCCTGTCCTTGTGAACTAGATGCTGAACAATCGTTGAATTACTTGGAGTATACTATTGCCCGATCACACATCACACATGCGAATTTTAGGTTAAAAAATTGTATAATTTCGTTTACACAAAACACAGCCAGATGGCGTATAATTTGCTATTTTATCTACGCAGTAGTTCCATGTACTCTCCTCCAGATGACAGCGCTCAAACAATAATTCAACGCGCAAATTTTCTCAGATTCCCGCCAGAATATTCTGCAGGACGTGTTACATTGAACGTTATACATCACGTATCTCGTACCAATTTGGCCATATATCTGATAACAAAGCTTACAGATCCATCGCAAAGTTTGCACTCATGCAATTATGCGATATTGTTGAAATTTCATACAGATTGATCCTACATTTCAAGCGATTTCACGATTCAACAGCGCAAAATAAATAGGTGGGTACATACACATTGTGTTGATCGATTTTGTTTAACTGACTAGCACATTCCCACGATAAAACAAGGATGAAAAAGATTACCAATTACGGAAAACGTATGATATTTTATATATAAACCGTTGATACATATTTGTTTGTGCTTCAAATATTATACAGTATTTATAAATATTTAAATAATGCAAAGTTTTATATTGTATTTGTAAATATATAGTTGCATATATTATAACAGCGATGTATGAAATAATAATATTGAGAATATTTTTGACAAAATAATGACTTATGTAATAATGACTTATGTATTTTTTATAAAATGATACATTGCAATTTTTATTATAGTTAATGCAAGCTGATAAGTGATCAAGACAATGCAATCTTGGATAAAGAAAAATATTTGAAGAACGCCAAAATAAAAGAGGAAGTCTCGTCCTTGGTTGCAGACCTTTTCCATTGAATAAATTGAAGGATGGCGCGACGATGGCGAGACATGTGTGCAAGGTAAAATTATTTCCCCGGGAATTTAATCGCGCGAATTATATATACTTATAAACGAGAAGAGAACTGCGTCGAAGTCGCATTTAGAGTTATATGTACCATTTAAACGGGAGATGTACGATCACTTTTCGCGTTTCCGATGTCCGGCCGATGTGGTACAACGAGCAAAAATGGGCAAGTAGGAGTAGAGACCCTCCCACCGCTTGGCCATATGCCATCCCGGTAAATACTGCTGTTATCATAACACGAGCCGGAGAAATGAAGCGAAAAGCGGATAGTGGACCGATGAGGGAGGCGGCCGGCAAACGAAAAGTACACGATGTCGCGGATTAATACGAATTTCCGTTCGTCTCGCTTTCCGTTCAAACCTCCCCCGCAGTTTCCCGCATATATTCTAATTTTTTTTATCCTTACTTATCTAACATCTTTAAAAGTGAATAAACTTATCCGTGCTATGTATATAGCTCTAACATATTTTTTGCTGCATAAATTATATCATAAATATTTGTAAATAAATACTTGGATCGTTCACGTCAAAACCGGAATTTTCTTCAGTAAGTGTCTACTGTTAAATTCCGGTTTTGACGTGAACGACCCAAGTAATAATAAATCATTTTTGTAGCAATGCGCGCATATGTAAGTATGTCCATATTACATGAATTGGCAATTCGCTACCGTTGTTAGAATTTTGAAAGAGATATGTTGTTTTAGTATTGAAAAGAGGCTTTTATATATATATTATATATTATAATTTATCCTCCTTAATTTAAGTGATGTTTTTTTGCTGCAAGAGAAGCTCTTTCTAACATTTTAATTTATTTTTATTTCTTCATTATATATACTATATTGATATATATTCAAATCATTTGTAGTTTCTATTATACATTAAATAATCGTAAAAGTAATTGGAAACTAGTTTATTTGCTAGTTCATTTCGGCAGCAAATTTGAAATTTGAGATAATTGAAAATAAATTGTGGTAATAAATGAAAAAATAAAACAGTAATCACAATGGAATGCGGACAATAATTTATAAAAGTTATATTTTGTATTTGGAATGGTCGATAATTAATCTTTAATAATATAAAATATAGAGAGAAAACTCTTGTACCGGTTTAAATAAACAAAATTACATCAAACACAAATTTCTCAAGCAAAAATATCGCCTTTAGATGTATAATTTATGGAAATCTAGTCTTACATATTTATTATACAATTTTCTATATTTAATGAGCACACATTTATCTTTCTCTAAAACAAAGTTCATTGGAAATGTTAAAATTACGACAGCGAGTAAACATTTTTTAATACATTTGATAAATACTAAATAGCTATATATGATGTAGTAAATAATATTCAATGCAGTAATTTTAACATTTTCGATGAAATTTTTGTTTTGGAGAAACATGGATGGATGTGTACTCACACATCAAATATAGAAAATTATATGATAAATATGTAAAACTAGATCTACATAAATGTTACATTCGAAAGCAACATTTTCGCTTGAAAAATTTGTGTTCGTCGTAATCTTATTTATTTAAACTAGTATAAGAGAGAGTTTTATATTTTATATTTCTGTGCTTTATATTATTAACGATCTGTTTTATAATTAATACAGATAAATCGCATTTATTCAATTATTTTACAATTCTCGATGATGCATTTTATTATCGATTGTTTTAATTTTAATTAATTTAATTATTCGCAACTGTATATGAAGCACAAAATTACAACGTTACCTAAGTATAACTTGCCATTATTATATTATATTATCGTAATATTATTCACGTAATATATATTGTCGAAGAGTTTTAATGCACGCAACAAGCTCATAAGCCACTTGTCACATTGCATTTTCCACAAAGCAAATTCGGCCCCAATAAAATGTGCGAGTAATTACGTGGTAATTAATAATTATGTCGGCTGGCTGTCAATATTTATGAGTGTACGCGCTCAGAAGTTTATTATATCGCAGCTGGTGTATTTTCTCTTGCAGCAGCATTTTGACGGGCGGAACAATGCCCGACGTCATGTGGTATCAAAACGTCTATTAAATCTGCTACACTAGAAATCCATTATGGAAAACTGGGATAGTAAATGGTTAGAGGCAAATTTAATATGTCACGTATTCTCTCTATATCATTATTTCTATTATTTCGTTTGTTCTTTTTCTTCCATTGTTACAGTTATATAACACGATATTAACATTGTATCTATATTTTTAATATATATTTATCGCTATATTTTTTTAATTCTAGTCAATATTGATAATTAATGTTTCGAAATTACGCGACCGTTCTATTTCATTGCCGTATCCAATCTCGCGAATTTTCTCTCCATTATTACGTCTCGATATACATTTTTAATTCTAATTGAAAAAGAGTGTTTTAAGACGCTGTTCCATATACTTGTCATCGAAAATTCGCTTTAACAAACGCTATACGCGCTCAATTTTTGATTCCAATTTCGCGAATATCCCTCGTGTACGTGTTCCCTCATATACATCCCACCTCGTCCGATCTCTCTACTTCCGCGTAAAAACAACGAGATCTCCATTTTTCGATCGATCGACCGACCAACCGACGCGCGTGGAGTCCGATCATCATCAGTGGTACTCCGGTTTTCTCCGGCGCGCGGTTTTCGCTCGAAATGACGGGCGTGTATCTGAAAGAACGGACTGCAGGCGCCGTATCGTCGCGAGCGCATCGATCAGAAAGAATATCGCCGTGTGCTGCCAGTGATTCAGAGTAGCAGTACTTTCCTCGGTAAGTGCCGAGCTTAAAGCTTGCCGCACACCGACGACTTACGGTACGAGAATATAGCGTACAAGATAAGCATGAGATATTACATTAGACGATTCCTCTCCATCGCGG